GACAGGTCTCTATATGGGATCCGAACCCTGGGGGGGAGGGGGGGGGAGGAGCGCCGCAGCGCTCCAGCTCAGCACTCTACCGAGTGCGCCACCGGGCTGGCCCAGCTCATGAGGCTCTTAAGGTCAGGCCTCAGAGGGCCAGTTGTCCCTGACTTGTTCTTGCCACCCCACCCCAGCGGAGGCCCTATCCTAGGTGCTAGGCATTTGTCCTCTTCCCCGTATCTTGCCCCCATCAACCTCCTCAGGAAGATGCTGAGAAAAGGCGCTCCTAAGCTTGGTGCCTTCAGCCAAGCCCAGGTATCGAGCTGTGGCCGACGCTGGGGGATGGCCAGAATTGGTCAGGCTGGGGCAGTCCCCACCCCTGCCCCAAGCCCCCGGGGAGTGCAGGGTGGTGGTGATTCAGCAGTGGGAAGGCCCCAGACCCCTGGGGAGAGTGGGGAGACTGGGGAAAGGGGAGCTGGCATCAGCACCCCGGGGAAAGACAAGATCAGCAGAGGCGCAGGCGGAGCCACGGGCCCTCAAAACAGGATGTTGTGTAGTTGTTCCGCACCCGGAGGCTCTGCGCTGCCGGGCTCTGGGGAGGGGGCGGGGCGAGGACTCGGGACTCCCCTTGCCCTTTCTCCTCGCCGGGGCGCGCAGCTGTTTGGGGCTACAGGGCCACACCGGGGCCTGAGGTGCGGCTTGGGGCCTGGGGACCGGCGGGTGGACAGACTCGTGGACGCCCTCTGGTGCTTTCCTCCCAGGCCTTGCGCGCGGAGCCTTGACTTGAGAATCAGCGTCCTTCGTCCAGCACAAACTTTCTGAGCGCCTACCACGTGCAGATCTCTGTGCTAGGTGCTGTGGAGAAAAACAGTGTTTAAGACAGGGGTCTTGTCTTCTAGAGGTTTTACAAATACAGTGATCGATTCTGGGAATAAATAGCTTAACCTTTTTGAGCCTCAATTCTATCTTTAGTAAAATAGAATAATTTATCTTTCACTTGTTAGTTGTGTAGATAACATTAGAATGGGTGTAAAAGTCCTTATGTCAATGCATGGCTCAAAGCAAACATTCAACAAATGCCTTTTTAAAAAATAAAATCAGGGTCTGGCCGGTTAGATGACTTGGGTAGAGCATGGTGGTGCTAATGCTAAGGTAACAGGGTTCGGATCCCTGTACTGGCTAGCTGGCAAAAAAAAAAAAAAAAGATGTTTCCTAGACATAGCATGTCTGCGGACATCTTTGGGTCTTTGCGCATTCTATTCCCTCTGCCTGACTTCTTTCCTGTATTGACTGCCAGGGGAAATCGACTCAAGTCTTTCACAATCTGGCCCTAAAGTACTACTCTGCCTGGCTGCCATATCCCTCTGCCTGGCTGCCATATCCCTCCTCCTCCAACAACAGCAGCAGCTGCAGCAGCAGCCGCAGGCGCGCACACACACAGACACACACACGTCTCTGCATGCACTCAACAGTCATTCTCCTAGTTTATTCTCTGGAATCCTCCAGTGGACTCCCAAGCAGACTTTGGGTCTCTCTCCTTCTCTTGGATCCCCATAGTCTTTGATACAAAAATCTTCTCTGTGGAGGAGGAGAGAGCAGGAGGGACAAGGGGAAAATCTCATTACCCTACTGGGACTCATGAATGGTGCTTGGCGTTTGATGGAGGAAGGAAGGATTGTGAGTTCCATAAATGATATGGTTCAGAGGAGGGCCACACACTAAAATGGCTTCTATGAAGCCATTAAAAATTATTTCCCAGAACAAAGTTTTTTGAGCTGTGTTCCTAGAATACCCTTCCCATGTCTTGAGAGCAGTAAAGTAGTGGGGCTCTGAATCCTACCCCTTCAACCAGAGAAGGTTTGCTTTTATCCAATTTATCCACTGATGTTCTGGAGAAAGCTCATTTAAAAAAAACTAAAAAAAAAAGCCGTTTAGCTTAGTTGGTTAGAGTGCAGCCTTATAACACCAAAGTCATGGGTTCGGATTCCCATACCAGCCACCCACACATACACACAAAAAAGTTTCCTGCAAAAAAATATTTGAAAATGAATTTAGGGACAGAGTGGTGAGAGTAGGGAGCACATTAAATGCAGTAGATCAAAAAACTGGACTGGCAATCTGGGGTCAGACTGCATTTCTTGAGTCTCTGAGTGTTTTGGGCATGCCTAGCCCTGGTTCAAGAGGGACAACCTGATTCAGCCTGAAGAATCTCATGATCTGTTGGGATATGGGACTGTTGCATATGAGGCTACTAGAGGAGGAGGAAAGAGCCCAGTGATGGGCTTTAGAAGACCTCGAAGTCCAGTCTAGGTTCAACCAGACAGACTAGTGAAATTTTAGGCCAGGCCCCACCCTTTTCTGGGTCTCAGACTCCTCCACTGGAAAACAAGGGGTTGAACTAGATGATACCTTTGAGCTCCGTTTTTCTATGATACACTCTACAGACTAATAATTAAGTCATTAAGGTTTGTGCACATAGTATACTGTTCATAGTTCTTTAATACCATTTAGGTCATCATATTTGTGTTCTAGTAAATTGTATCTGTGCCTAATGTCTGTCTCCCCCACTGACTCTAAGTCCTTTGAGGTTGTGCCTGATTCATCAGTGTCCATCTACTGGGTCTGGCACAGGCAGGTCTCAGCACACATTTGTCTTAGTAAACATTTGTGGAATTAAATTGCTTTAATGAAGTGCTAATGTGCATAGAACGATCAGAAGCCAGGTGACTTGGAGCCATTTTTGTGGCACAGCTATAGGAATGCAAATAAGGTCAGAGGAGAGGGAGACAGGTGGGCAGGTGGACCTGTCTGCAAAGGCTTCTTAGAGGAGGAGGATGCTTAGCTGAAGAGGGTAGGAAGGGGGCATAATCCCACATGGGCTCTTTCTTTTTCCTGCTCCCTTGCTAGCTTTCCCCAAATAGCTGAGTTCTTGGTAGGTGGTATGCATGTATGCTCAAAAGCAGGTGGGAGGCAAGGACACCAAATCTGGACCTTTAGAAGGGAGACAACATATGGGCCGGCCCGGTGGCGCACTCGGTAGAGTGTGGCACTTGGGAGCGCGGCGGTGCTCCCGCTGAGGGTTCGGATCCCATATAGAGACTGGTCCGCTCACTGGTTGAGCGCGGTGCGGGCACGACACCGAGGGTTGCGATCCCGTTTCTGGTCGCGGTACGGGCGCAACACCGAGGGTTGCGATCCCGTTACCGGTCACAAAAAAAGACAAAAAGGAAAAAATATATATATATATATAAATTTGCTCCCGCTGAGGGTTCGGATCCCATATAGAGACTGGTCCGCTCACTGGTTGAGCGCGGTGCGGGCACGACACCGAGGGTTGCGATCCCGTTGCCGGTCACGGTACGGGCGCGACACTGAGGGTTGCGATCCCGTTACCGGTCATGAAAAAAGACAAAAAGGAAAAAAAAAAAAAAAAAAGAAGGGAGACAACATATGAAAGCACTTGGTGGGGTAGTATAGAAATCACAGACAGGTTCTGGAGCCAGACAGACGAGGATTCAAAGGTAGTAACACTTACAGTACGGCCTTTGCCAAGTCACATGACCTCTTATATTCATTCCTTGAATGCATATTTATTAAAAATCTTTTGTTTTTCCCAAAGTTTCTTACAAAAAAAATCTGGAAATCTTGGTGCCAGGCATAGTGGTAAATGCCCATGATGAAGTGGAGAAAACACAGACAAATCCCTACCCTGAGGTAACTAGCAAGAGAGATAGACCTTAAACAGGTGTGGTGTCATGGCACCAAGATCAAGGGTTTGAATCCCTGAACTGGCCAGCCACCAAAAAAAAAAAGATAAGACCCTAAACAGGTAATCACGCAAAAGTACAAAGTGTT